TTAGCTTAATTAATTTAGATACTGATATTTAATTAATATCAGTTAATTAAAGTTTCAAATTGATCTTAACCCTGCGAAGACGCGTAGTTTAGTTAGGCGTATAGACTGACTTGTCAAAGTCGGAAACGACTGTGTCTGTTAATGATGCCGTATCAAAGGGAGGAAACGACGTTAATTGCAGAGACCTTCGTGAACTATACGCGTCGCACAATACTTTGACCGAGTTACCCGGATCGTTACACGGCTTAACAGCTCTTCAGGTACTCGACTTGAGCTTCAACAAGCTGAACATCCTGTCGCCGGAAACATTGAGCAGCCTATCGGCCTTGCTCGAGCTCAAACTTGTCAGGAATCGCATCCGCGAATTGCGCGAGGGCGCCTTCGATGGTTTGCCACGATTAACGCTAATCGATCTGGAAAATAACGATCTCAGAATAATCGAAAGGAACGCCGTCAGAGCTCTGCCTGAGCTGCAGGCGATACGACTTGGAAAAAATCGATTGCAGGTAGCAGAGAATATTTTCCTTCTCATTTTAGAATACTTCAATCGAGAATTCGCAATTAGCACTCGGCTTACAATGTCGTTACAACTGTTTGCAAATATGTAGATAATTCCAAGCGGAGCTTTCACCGAGTTGCCATTGCTGCAGAGTGCAGAATTCCAGGAAAATCGGATCCAGGAAATTGCCAGTAACGCGTTCATTAACGTGCCCCACCTTCTCTTTCTTAATCTAAGCCACAATCATTTGCCATCGTTGGATTACGTCGGCTTAGAGAGCTTGCGTTCCCTAGAGGTTTTGGATTTGAGCAATAATCGACTGTCCAGGGTGTCGAGCAACAATTTGGCGTCGATGGAGTGGTTGGTCGAGCTGAAAGTAAGTAAAAAATAATAAGTGAAAATGGAAAAGAAAAATTGCTTTACGAATTTGTTTCTTAATAAGATCGGCTAATTAAAGGGGAATAGTAGCTTGTGAGCTATAATTTTCTATGAAATTAAGCATTCGAGAGTGAAAATGAAAAATCGAATAGTTGTGATAAAGATCGATTTTCGTAATGATCGCGTTAAACGCAAACGAAGAATGAAAATAATGACTTTGGTGGGGATAGTCTTTAGTAATAACGGGGAATACTTTCTCGACGAGAGTGAAACTTCGCCGTGAACCGTGCGAGGCCACTCGTTATGCTAGCCGAGCAATTATTCGTATAGCTGCATCGTTAATTAAGAAGATAGTGGCTTGTTTTACATGCGTCGTCCACTTTAATTGCAGATGGACAACAATCGTATTTGTACCATCCACGGTTCGCCTTTTGACGAAATGCCGAGACTTCGAGTGCTCAGTTTGAGAAGTAATCGAATGGCTTCCGTTTCGGAAGCTGCGTTCAAAAGATTGCGATCAAACATCGCTGTCTTAGATATCGATGGTAATCAAATTTCTTCTTCTACTAGCTCGGTATTCTGTGCTGATATTTCATAAGGATTCATTTCGTCGTGTTAAAGGCAATCCACTTTCGTGTTCCTGCGGGATGTTATGGTTAAGAGGATGGTTGCAGCAAGCCTCCTCCGAAGGTCCAAGATGCGCCGATGGATCTTTATTCAAGGAAATTAGATTGTCACGCCAGGATTGTCAACGTGAGAGACAAATCGACCCGATCCATCCAGGCTGCGAGGCGGAAATGATCGACGTTGCTCCGTATCCAGTCTCCTCTTCCAGTAAGTAACATTCAAAAATTATCACTTTCGTTTGTTAACACAGAAGATGCTGAGAAAATATTTTATCAGTATTCGGGGCAACGGAGATGGTGCCACTTCGTATGAATTTAAAGGAGCCGTCGACACGAAAGCCTCCTAATAATCAGGATACCGATTATTTCTACGATTATTCGGATTATCAAGATAGTAAGAACAACGCGTCAAACGTAACTTTCACATCGGCTCAGTTTGTGACTACAGTAGCAACGGATATCGTGAAAGCCACTCAGACAATGGAGAAGGTTCAACCATCGACGAACGATACTATTCCTATAAAAAAAGTCACTTCGATGCCACCCTCTCCTAGTAGTTCTGGTTTTACATTTTTCGGAGTCCCTTTGCCGAGCCTCAATTTCAATCTTTGGGGTAATTCGAGGAAAAAATTCGAGAGAAAGAATTCTTCGGAAAGACCTGGCAGAGGTCGTTACAGAACATTCCCACCTACGGAACCGGAAATCCACAGAGGTGGTTTCATACCGTTACCACGTGGACAAGGTGGATTTGTACCTATCGTTGATCCTAGACTGACTTTCGAGAGACAAATTAAAAACGAAACTTCGAAAATTCAAAATTCAAACGTCACTCAAGAGGAGAGGAAACGATGGAAGAGTGGAAATGGTACGGTTGTGAAAGTTGAAAGGACTTATCCGAGAGCAAACAAAACTAAAGCGGGATCTAAAGAAAGGGAAGAACTATCCACGATGTCGATTAATGAACAGAATTCTCGTTGGCAAGTAACTAGTACGAACAAAATCAGGTAAACAATTGAACAAGCTGTTAGACGTATTTTACAATGCTATATATAAACAAGCTGCTAGACGTATTTTATCTTTTTAGTCCTGTTGCGAATAAGACGTCGGATTCGAGTACCGCGGCAGATGAATCATTCCAAGAGACAAATGAAACTTCGACATTTACTGAAGTTTATAGTGGAGAAAATCTAGAGATGATTAAAAAGGCAAGCAAGAACGAAGAAAAGCTACAAATAGAAGTTGCAAGTAGAATTGTTTGGACTACTCCAAGAACTGTCTTGGAAATGACTAAGGAAACATCGACAGAGACACTGAGGGGAGAAAAAAATTCATATTGGGATACTGAAGCGAACGAATTTCAAGAAACGTCCAATCCTGCAATAAACGCCCAAAACGAGTCAATTGGTAATGTTATAATTTGTATTGTAAACAATATCAAACAAGTAAATCTTTAACATTTATCGTAGATAATTCTGGTGTGATGACAGAACGACCAACTTCTCATTCAATGTTCTTGGAAAATCTGAAAAATACTTCTTCTACGTCCCAAGTTTCTCGAGAAACAGAAGCGTCAGCTCTTTCAGCTTTCCTGGTTCCAGGAGGTCAAGTGCCTTCATTGATTCCAAATTTGCGTCCACTAGGTAGACCAACGATAACGAAAGTTCCATCGCCACGTATCGGTCTTTCTGGAGAATCAGAAAAACAAAAATCCGTGGCAGAAGCAGTTCAACGAAACTTGGAAAACGAACAAGAGAAATTATTTGACATAGATGGATCTTCCAATGAAAATAGCGAGATTTTTGCAGACAATTCCTTCAATTGGTATTTCCAACATTATAACGACACTAATTTAGAACCATTCGTTGGTGTAGCGTACAGTGGAAGTGAAAAAACAAATGCGGCTCGATGGACTTTATTGGGTCAAATATATCTCTCTCTTATTTTGTACATTTTCATATAAAAACATGGAAGATTAAATACAGATAAAATATCTTCAGCACAATGAATTTATTAAATAATTAATATTTGAAGTATTTTTAATTACGTGCAAAATATCAATCGACGAAGAGAATCCAAGTGCTATTGGATCAATGTCAAAGAGTGTTCTAATTACGAAAAACAGGTAGTATGACCATAAAAGTTTGTTTTAGGGTTCGTAATATTGTGCTTCGCGCCTAAAATATGAGATTTTATAATAGGCAGAAATGCATAATTGACTTATTATGCATCTCGTGATGGTTCTGATGCTTTTTCTATTAACCAAAAATAAATGAAGTTATGAGTTCGAATGATCAATTTTTTATTAATAACGCAGTATTAATAAGAAAGCTCAAATTCTCTAGAAAATATGTTTGTAATACCTAAGAATTGCATCTTACAATTTTAATCTTATCTGCTACTTTCAGATAATATAGAAAACATCGACATGTTTCAACGACCTCGAACGACAATTGAACGATATTAGTTTATGAAAAAATTATGAATGAATTTCTCTTACCGATACATTATATAAAAGTTATAAGTAGTTCGAAGCAGTTGCTCATTTCTAATGTGAAACAAAAAAACGATCAGTGAACACAATTGTATTATGCCTTGTAAACGTTGTTTAATATTAAAATTCTTAATTGTGCAATGTGTTTATTATAATTCGTGTTTTACTATAAATGATGAAAATATGTAACTGCATTTTTACTATCATATCTTTTATCTAATGTATATATCGTATTATGGTAGAACACTTTAAGAACAAAGATGCATCCGAATTATTTTGGTGTTATTTTGAAATCGTTTGTCAAGCACAAAATTCATTTGTACATGTATGAACAAATTTTGCAAATTTTGTGAACTTCTTTGCAATGTTAACAGTCTCAATCACACAAATTAGTCTCAATTTCACTTTATTCACTGACTTTTATTCTTTATTTTATCTTTCTCGTCCTTTTTCTCTTCTTCTTTCTTCTCATCTTTTTTTGTCTCTTTTTTATCGGTTTCTTTTTTTTCAGCGTCGCGATTGGTTAATTTATTATTGATCAAGTTGTGTAAAGCCACTATGGATCTAACAAGAGCAGCAAGATACACAACTAACATTTGATCATTTGTTTTCACATACAGTGAATCAACGAAGCTACTCTGTGTCATATCGGGTAGTAAATTAAAAATATCTTGGAGTTGATAAACAATCTGATGATTGATAGGTAATTTACCGCTACCAACTTGTAGCAAATAATCTCTAATTTCTCTAATTTGTTCGTGAAGACCTTTTAAACCTAATAGTTGATTTGTAATTCTTTGACTAAGAGTACCGACTGTGGTATCCTTTATATCTCTCAGTAGGTGTTCTACACCTACTTCTTCCGCTTCTTCTGCACCAATTTCACTAGGGATGTGTTCAAATGTTTTAGATGTTGGAGAACCATCCTGCAAATAATTCAAAATTATAGCATAAATTAAAATAATATAAATATGAAAACTTACATCATGAACTTCTTCAACAGCTTGATATGCTTCTGTTGGAAGACCAAGGTCTTTGGGTTTAGCATCAATAATGACCAAAACCGAATTAGGACAATATCTTCTAATTAATTCATTAATTGCAACATCATTTTGATGTAATTTGGGACCGGTATGATACCATCCTACTACCTTTTCACGGGCTAAAAATAGATTAATAATATGAAACATATAAACTTTTCATTTTGCACAAGCTCATGTGCGTAAAAGTAAATACATACCATTAACTTTTTTAAACATTCCATACATGTTTTCAAGATAATCGTGATCGAGAAACCATACACTTTTGTCCTTATCATCTTCATCAAAAGGTACTGTAAACAAAAATGATAAAATCTGGTATTCTTGATTTAATGAAATAAAATTTTGAAGTACATGCGTGTCTATTTAGATTATTCAAATTAGAATTTTGTTATAACAAAAATATGTTCATTTTATTCAAAAAGATATTAAAAGAATAAATAAATACAGAATTTCAAGTCTTCTTCCTAAAACTTCCAAGAATAAGATAAAATGTAAGCATGTACTATAACCTAACCTGCAAAACTGTTTGATACGTCAAGAACGCCTTTAGCCCTCCAACATCCTAAAAGAACACCAACAACTCTTTTTTGATTGCCAATTTTTCCCATACGATTAAAATGGTCCACCACACTTAATAAAACTAAAGGGTGCACCACTACTTTCGTAGTTACAACCTCTTGACTCGGCATTTTTGAGCAATTTCTTCGACTTTGCTTAGTGAATGTAGTCACAATAGAAATAACATCCAAGTCATTCACTGTACATTTACAAAAGACCCTTTTACACCAGAAGTAAACACTAGAAGAACCACTTTTAGGAAAATGTATTAATTATGCCTTTATAAGAAATTAAATTATAATTATTTTTCAAAATCAAAATATAATAATAATTGTAGTAAAAAGAAACTAGTTGCGTGATAATCTAAAATCAATTTAAGGTTAATTAAAGAATATGCAATTTTTCTATAATATTTTCAATTTGTATTTTTCGAACGAGATAACACTAGGCAAATAAAATTTTTATAAAATTTATGTTCTCTAGAAAATTATAAAAATATTTTTATAGTTAATATAAGACGAGAAATTATAGTTAGCAGCACTGTTGAGAAAACATTGATTCGCACGTGTTTTATTCGGGTCTCAATTACTGTAAGGTGGTAATAATTGTGAAGGTAAGTAGTAATTGTTTAAAGAATGTGACAAATACGATATTGATTAAAATAATATATATCTATGTATTTATTCTTTAATAACAATCTAATTCAATTTATTCGACGAAAAGACCAATGTATTTCATGTTTTCTCTATACATGCATATTTCTGTGGACATGTTTACCAACTGAAGAAATCAAAAATGGCGCGAAATTATTTCATTTCTATATAAGATATTTTTTTATAGAATGTCGAAACCAGTAGTCTTCGTAACTGGAAATGCAAAAAAACTGGAGGAATTTGTAGCTATCCTGGGAAATAATTTTTCACGAGAAATTACAAGTAAAAAGATCGATCTTCCGGAATATCAGGGAGAGATAGATGATATTTGCAGAAGTAAATGTCGAGCAGCGGCAGATCTAATAAAAGGTCCTGTTATTATTGAAGATACATGTTTATGTTTTAATGCAATGAAAGGTTTACCTGGACCTTATATTAAATGGTTCTTAGATAAATTGGGACCTGAAGGCTTATACCAAATGCTTCATGGTTGGGAAGATAAAAGTGCGGAAGCGGTTTGCACTTTTGCCTATTGCGCCGGAGAACCGAAAGATTCGGTGTTACTATTTCAAGGTAGAACCCAAGGAACTATCGTGAGCCCTCGAGGTCCGCGAGATTTTGGTTGGGATCCATGTTTCCAACCTTTAGGTGGAGATAAAACTTATGCAGAATTACCGAAAGAAATGAAGAATCAAATTTCACATCGCAGCAAAGCAGTAGAAAAACTGAAAGAATATTTTATGAAAGATGTTCAGTATTAAATCAATAAGAATTATTTTTTCTAAAAGTATGATATTCATTAAATTTTATAATTATTATATTATATGTAGAATTGAAAAATATATTTTAATTGCTTTTTAATGACATCGTTTATTCCTTCCTCCTATCAATGATTGTGTATCATCAAAATGTACGCTCGGCATTTTGACCCAATGTTAATTACGTATTATTCTTACTTTAATCAAAAGAGATTTAACGTTTAAAATACATTTCGACCGAAATGCCGATAGCCGGTGAATTTCGTCATAAGTTGAATTACTAAAGAATTTCTTGTAACAAGAAACAACAAGAAAACGATTTAAAAATTGGTTCGGATAATTAATATTTCATCAGCCGTAAACACTGATGATAGATTTATCAATATATTACAAAATGATGCAATATTTTTGAACATTATACCATGCTCCTTTATCAACGAAAATTTAAATTTTGGAATTTCTGATCTTTTATCAATATTCCTCTTTATTCCTATATATAGAAATCATTATATACATTTATATTATTATTGATTGTTACATACAATGGTAAACACGCAATCGGATTTTATTTATTGCTTGTTGATAAAGCTAATTATATTCATTAACAATGTTTACAATAATATAACTTAAATGAATAACAGCAATTTTAAGAAAAAAATCGACTATCGTATTAAAATTAGTACTAAATCTTATTTATTATTGATTATATTGAGGAGTTATAAATGACTAAGTTATTTATAATCATTATCAAAATTTTTTATGAATGTAAAATCAAAAATACAAGTTTCAAGAGAAACTTTGAGAATTTTTAGAAAGAATTTTTCCATTAGATTTTATTTGTTATACTATTAACTGGTTCCATTAGTTTAATTAAGAAGAAAACATTGTTGTTTATATTCATAATAGTTTCGGACAAAATAACTTATAAACCCATCCTTTTTATTTAGAAGTAAAATAAAAATGTAGTAGAATGATTTACTCAGGTAACAAATGGTAAGAAACACATGGTGAAACTAAAAATAGGAAATTTTAAAATATATTTTGTCCATATAAATACAATGGATTAGATTAAAGTTAGGTGATGTTTTCAAAAATTACTCACATAACAAAAGTAATTGGTGATACCATGCCCGAACGGGTTATCTTGTACATTGATTACACCGGCACAGCCAGTTCATAACACCCTTTCGGGAGGGGTTATCATTGTCTTTGCATTTTCTTATTTTACCGGGATTGCAGATTTTTCGCCTTATAAAAGGAGAAAGCAATGTAGCAGCATTACCAGTCTTGTTGCCAGGGTCATACTATAATGAATGCCCTAATCGGTAAGTGATAAGAAAAGAGGAGAATATTTTCGGATGTTATTAATAATTCATAATATCACACAAATTCTTTCTTATTTTCCAGTGCTATTAGCAATTCTGGCTACGGCGTTTGCCGTTCCAGGTATGTCAACCGAAAATAAAAAACAGATAAAATTCTTTATATAAAGAAGACATAAATTTTCTCAAATATTATTACAGTACCTTTCCCGCATGGAAAAAGTTTGGCTTACAAATATCATGCTGTTGTGAAGGCTGGAACCATTGAGCCGACTCCATTCGCGTCTGATTTTAAGATCGAATGTCTTCTTCAAGTGCACCACGATGTCACCAATCCAACTTCGAAGAATATCTTCTATATTGCCTTAACTAATGTGAAATATGGATTGCATAATGGACGCATGCTCCATTATGAGTCTGAACCTGTTATGTTACCGATTGACGATGCTGCTAATGCGATCTTGAACCCTTTCGTCGTCGTCTACAATGAACATGGACACGTAAGAGAAAATAAATGAAAGAGTAATAAATACATGGAATTTATTTGGATTATTTCAGCTTGAAGGTGTACAATTCGTAGAAAATGAACCAGGATGGTCAAAGAATTTGAAAAAGGGTATCGCCTCTGTGCTTCAATTGGACTTGGTTCATATTCATGTTCAGACCCCTACAAACGTACATGGCTTCATATCTCAAGAGGTAGGTAACGACTGATGGGAACACCCTTAGGTTTTGACTAATGTTCTCTTTGGTTGTTACCACTAGGTTACCATTCACGGCACTTGCGAAGTTGCTTATAACGTGCTGCCAGTAGATCATTCAGGATCCAGCAAAGAATTTGTAGTTACAAAACTCTATGAATCGAAGAACTGTTCTCGCTTTAAATATTACGAGTTTAACCATGTCGAATGCGACAAATGTCAAATACATGAAGGGGTATTGAAAATGTCAATTATTCTTTCCATATTAAAATGTAGTAATTTCATAAATTTCATCTTTATATCCTTGTAGGATGACACGAGCACCGTTACCAAACGTGTTTTCGTAATAGACAACTACGATAATGAAATTCTTATAAAAAAATTAATTGGTCATTCAGTGATTAATTACCTGCCATGGTTGGCTGCATCAGAGGCCCATTATCTTTTGATTAAGTAATTTGAGAACATTTTATTGCAGCTCCAGATATAAACGTTTCGTTGAAGTTTTACTCAAGAACGACATTTGTTCTTTTAGCCAAACTTTGGTTCTCGGAGATGTCGTCCCTGTAACTGACGTTCATTTATCGCCCTTGAAACGTCTAATTGTCACACCTATCGAGAAGATTATCTACGATGAACCTAAAACTCCATATGTTCCTGAGGCTGACATAGACGTAACTCATCATCGACATGTCGTTAAGCTCGATGAACTTGTGGTTAAAGTGAAGAAAATGTTGAACGAGGCTGCTGGTTATCTGAAAGAAAGTCATATTGATAAGAAACAACCAGACTGGAAGCATGATCAAACAATCAATAGAATTTTTCACATTATGGGATTCATGAACGTTGTATCTCTGGAGAAAGTGTATAATGAAATTCAAGATGCCAAAGATGCCACAGAGAAAGCAATGAAGTGAGTGAACTGATATTTATCGGTAACCGAACAATAATATATTTTGATAATATTAATTTCTTTCAGAAATATTTTCCTCGCAATAGTGCCGCACGTAGGAACTCCGGCTGCCTGCATTTTCACACGAAATGTAGTTCGTACAAACAGCGTACCAAATTGGGTTGCCATCACGATGCTTGCCAATCTTCCGATGCACGTAAAAGTTCCTTCGAAGGAACTGCTTTTACAGATGGAAGAACTTCTTAACTTAGGCGATTCCGTTTCGCCGAGTGTTAGGGAAGCTAGCATATTTTCCTTTGCTACATTGATTCATAAGACCTATGAGAAAGAGCAAATCGAAATCGTTGATCTTTTGGATAGATATTTGAAACATTTCATGGAGCATGTTAGAAGTACGGAATTTCTATAATATCGTATTTTAATTATTTCATTCTTAAGCTTTGAAATTCTTGAATATGACCGATGATAAATATTACAGCCGAGCCGACGTTCCACATGAAGATGGTATACATGATGGCCATGAAGAATGTTCGGCTGAGCCATGTTTTGAAACATCTGGAGTCTATCATTAGTGGCAAAGAGGTTGTTTCCGAAAAGCCATACAATATTCGTGTGCAAGCTATTTGGATCGTTAAACACATAAACGTCGATCTCCATTATACTCACGATTTACTCTGGCCAGTTCTTAGTGACGTTAGCCTTCCAACAGTAGTCAGAGTTGCTGCTTTCGATGTACTGGTGCATCAAGTAACTCATCTAGGCCGTTTCATGAATATATACTGGTTAATGGTTAACGAAAAGGACGAACATCTCTACAATTATTATGTAGATACCATTGAAGGACTTGCTAACTCGGTAGATCCATGCCTGATGAAAACTCGGGAAATTTGTAAGAAAGTGTTGAAGTTCATTTCTAAAAGGAACGTGAATGGCCCACTTTCAAGAAAAATCCACGTAGATTATAAAGATGAAAAATACGGATACGCTGAAAGCGTAAAAGTTTCATTAGTTCTCGATAGTTCTGGCTTCCCGTATGTTGGTTCAGCTGAACATGTTGAAACTGTCACTCGTAAACCCGTTCATAAATGGGGAGTAAGTGTTTTTATTCGATATTATACATTTAAAGAATATTACTTGAATCTATTTTAACATTTCTCACTCTGTTTCTGTATCTTAGGTTTACTGGAACATAGATGGCATGGGCAAAATCTTAAAGCATATAAATCGTAATGTGTTCAACGAAGTCGTAGAAGCAATTAAAAATGATAATGTGAAGAGTATATTGCATCGAGCAGCTACAGATATGCCGATACTTAAAGATATCAACGTTAACGTGATTTTGACAATGAATAATAATGTTGTTTCGATACTTCATTCCGACAAGGATAATTCATTAAAAATTCTCGATAAATTGAAAGAATGGAACAAATTCATTACTGAGTATTTGAATGATATTAACTGGCAGACTGTATGGTATCATAATCATTACGAAATGCATGTGCCCACTGATCTTGGTGTACCAGCCGCTTTAGTTTTGAAAGTACCCTCTTTGACTTCTCTCAGAGGAGAGTTTGAATATTCCGAGGAAAAAAATCTTTTGATCTTGAAATCAAAACTTAAATATGAACAATGGATGCATGGTGAATACGTAATGTCGGTTTACAATCCTGTCGTTGATACTTGGCACTCTGTTCGGAAGACATCGTCCGTGGACGTTGTTTTGCCACATGATTTGAGCATCGCTTACAATCAGAATGCAAAGAGCTTTAAAGTTACATTGCCAAGATTACCTGTTTCGGAGTTCTCGATCGTTGGAATGTCCATTTCCGGGAAAAACTATGTCACTCTCACAGGTGATGAGCACGATTTGCTGAAGAAGTTCTGTTCTACTTGTCGTCCCATTCACGAAGTTATTATCACTGACGATAGCTTAAAAACATACGATGTTTTCGAATCGAAAGACACTGGAACTCGATTTTCAATAACACATACTTGTGAGAACAATGTTATTCCTGTCTCACCTATTACTCAGTGGCTTGAAGTATATCTAGACAAACAAGTGAATACCATGTAAGTATATAAGTTAAGGGACGATCAAGGCGAACAAGGAAGAGAAATATCGTTAAAATTTATTTTCTTTTTATAGGAGCTATCTATGGGTAAAGCCTGTCATGGCTGTTCATCATAAAATAATGAACGACATAATTACAAAACAAGAGAAAAGTTGCGCGGTTGTGTATAAAATTGAACCAAGTATTTCGCATCCTACTTCGATGGTACATTAAAAAAGACACTTTACTTATATAATATTCGTACATATATTCTCCTGCTTAATTCTAGTCCTTTTTCTATACGATTAGATTGAGTTGAATGGAAAACTTAGCGTTCAAGACTTGGACTACACCCATGAAAAGATGGACTTGCTTAGCAACAAGAGAATCGATATTCGTGGAAGCATGATTGTTAAAGCAGCATCCACTGACGAATCTGTAAGACGATGGAATCTGAATGTTAACGTTATGTTGTCTCAGGGACATATTAACAATAATGTCAAAGTTATGATCACACGTATTACACCGCAAGAGGAAGATCTGAAGGTTTGTAATATTTAAGATCTGTAAGTGAAAGTTTTTATTAAGAAAAACATTCTATGCATTGTTTTAGATATGTATCGAAGCGCAGAAAGATTATCCTGTAGTCAATTCAGATTTGTTAAAAGTTAGTGGAAAGAAGGAAGTTAATTCGGTAATGACGATCACCATGGGACACACGAAAGAAGATAAATGTGTACATGATGAAATGGACGTTACATTGACAGTGAAAGGTGAAGTGTTAGAAAATCAACAAAATCACATCATCCACGACAGTGTGTGCCACAAACAAAGTCAGAATCCCTTATTTTACCTCAAGGGATCGAGGTTTTTGATGCTACTTCCTAGCACTCCAGAATGTATCGAAGAAGCTATACGCGAGTCATCTCTAAGGAAATACACTATAAATATGACGCTAAAGACGGTAATTAATAATATTATACTTCACAACTGGTTTAATTATATACTTAATTTTTAATCATTTGACAGGTACCCCCGCAATTGTCATCAGCTGTAAATGTAGTGCACGATATTTTACGTGTTGTTTATTTCCCCCATATGAAATATACTTGGAAACATGTGGAGCCTCAACACGCGACGATTCTCCTAGAATTCCCAGATTCGTCATCTTTCCTTAATACAGCCGTCGTTACTTCGACACATAGTTACGAATTGGTTAACTTACCATTTGGTAATGAACTTTGGAATATGTGGATGAGTAACACACTAATGCCTTTCTCAACAATATATGATTACGTTAACAAAGCAATCAGTAAGTTTCTTTTGTTACTTACAATAAGTAATCATCCATAAAATAATCATCAATGTTTCTACGTTGTTCACAGAGTTTTGCACAGTCAATCCTCGAGTTATTATTAATCTCGATAATGGTGTCACTCCATTCATCGTGTCAGATAAATGGACTTTGCTATCCGGTGATCATGTAGAACAAACGTACAGTATCTTCGTAAAATCAGTACAAAACGATCAATTGGCCTTAAGAGTTTACATAGGTGTACATGAATTAGAAATTATGCCTACCGATGGAAGTGTGACGGTCACCGTAAATAATAAAGTTATAGACAAGTACGATAAGGGTGTCATGGTACCTGATAATCCGGAATTCTTTGCTATCAGGTAAATTTGCTTATCATTAATATTCAAAATAGTTTCATTTACATAACTTTAATTTCATGGACTGATTTCTGGAGACAGATACACATACTGATAATTACAATACCTATATCTTTTCGCACAGGTTGATCGAAGCTAATAAACGTATAGTGATTGAATCTAGAATGGTACCAATCCAAATTTACTACTTAACAGACATTCTGACAGTTCTTGTAGGCACTGAACTTCAAGGACAACTGACTGGCTTGTGTGCTCACATGGATGGCATTCATAAAGTCGAAATTCCAAAAATATATAGTGTCTCGCATCTTTAAAGAAATCAGATTTTCCATTTTATAAAACGTGTAAGTGTAGAGGAATTAATGTAGAATGATGATGTATGTAGATACAAAAGAATAAAGTTATCATTTCGAGTAATTTTCGATCATTCATTCTATACCATTACAATGATAATCTTTTTAACAAATTATTGCATTTTGCAATATCATTATAATTAAATATATTACGTTAATTATTAAATAAACTATTTGTTATTATCATTGTATTTATATTAAAAGAAGTTTATTTTTCTTTAATTTTTCACAAAATTTCCTAGTTTGAATGCGCGTGTGTTTTTTTCAATTTTTAATTTATTTCATTTGTACTGTTTGTATTGTTTGGAAAATTGAATATTTAGAATTTCGCCATGAAATAATAAAAAAAATCTGCTTGTCACGCAGCCTCCGTGGCGCAATCGGCTAGCGCGTTCGGCTGTTAACCGAGAGGTTGGTGGTTCGAGCCCACCCGGAGGCGATTTTTTTTACGATTTATATGTTTTATAAAAATAAGAATAACACACAATTTATATATATTTCCACACACATTTACTCTCAAGAACGACAGACACATTTGTAGAAATATATTGTAAAAATATATTCGATTTAGTTAAGAGGTTGTGGACCATAAAATTAAAATATCGGTTTTGGAAAAATTCAAAGATATAATTATACCTTTTGTATCTTGCGAGTTGTGAGAAGTGAAAGTGAAAGTGAAAGTGAGTAACACCATTCTCATAATAAAATAATTAATTGTTTAACAAAGAATGAAAAAAGTCTTTTATTTTCCGTTTCAAGTTAAACAATGTATCTTCTTAATACTAACAGTGTTATTTTAAATTTACCTCCTAAAACCTATTAGTAAGTGGCGCTACTATCGATTTGCTTGAAATTGTGATTGGACTCCATCTTCTTTTCGCCGACATTTACACGCAACACGAGGGAAAACGTAAGTTTTTACTTAAAAGGTAATATTTATTACGTAAATTAACTGTGTCAATATTAAAAATATTACTTATTTGTTGATGCAATACTGTTGTCTATTATTAATTGTACATATTGTTAATTATACGTTAGATCAAGCAAGACCGCATGTAGTCGATTTTTTACGGCACTTTTAAATATTTTATTAATGTTACATATTTATGTCTCTTTGTTATGATTAAATTTTACAGTTTTATGAAACTTAAGATTATTGTTAATGTTGTTGTGAATTCATATTTTGATCTTATAAAATTTTAGGTTAAAGTTGTTTAATATCTGCATATATATTAGTGTTGCATCAGAATCAATCTACCTGTTTTCTAAAGTTGATTTTTTATTTTGTTTCAGACATGTCATTAAATATGGCAGCTTTCTGGAATCGATTAGGGCAATTTGGCATTGGTTTGACTGCGACTGGTCTTCTTGTTAATAATGCTTTGTACAATGGTCAGTTTTTTCCTTTTATTATGCAGCGATGTTTTTATACATTGTAAATTCAGCTGAGTTTACAATTCTTTGTCTGTTCCAGTTGATGGTGGTCATAGAGCTGTTATTTTTGATAGATTTACTGGAATAAAAAATCAGGTTGTTGGGGAAGGAACACATTTCATAATTCCTTGGGTTCAGAGACCCATCATATTCGATATTCGATCAATGCCAAGAAATATTCCCGTAATTACTGGAAGTAAAGATCTGCAGAATGTAAACATCACTCTTCGTATTCTCTTTAGACCTATACCAGACTCTTTGCCAAAAATCTATACTGTTCTTGGTATAGATTATGCTGAGAGAGTATTACCATCTATTACGAATGAAGTATTAAAAGCAGTAGTTGCCCAATTTGATGCCGGAGAATTGATCACTCAAAGAGAGATTGTCTCTCAAAAAGTTAGAGAAGACTTAACAGAAAGAGCTTCGCAATTTGGATTGATTTTAGATGATATTTCTATTGTAAGTATATTATGATTATTTTTTTCTTTTTCAATGTATGTATGTTCTGTTTCAATTTGTAATCTGCTTTATTTCAGACACATTTAACGTTTGGAAAAGAATTTACTCAGGCTGTGGAGATGAAGCAAGTAGCACAGCAAGAAGCAGAAAAAGCTCGTTTCTTAGTAGAAAAGGCGGAACAACATAAGAAGGCTGCTATCATTAGTGCAGAAGGTGATGCTCAAGCTGCTAGTTTGATTGCAAAATCTCTTGGCGAGGCAGGCGACGGTTTAGTTGAACTAAGAAGAATTGAAGCTGCAGAAGATATAGCTCATAATCTGTCTAGATCTCGTCAAGTGGCTTATTTGCCACCAGGTCAAAATGTCTTATTAAACTTACCGCAGTGAAAACATGAACTCGAATAAAAACTACATATATAAGTTGTGCATTTGTATTGGAATGTATGAGTTTAATGCATCAATGGTATAGAGAGTTTCTAATCTGCATAGCGAAAATGCATGTTCCTACACAGATAAATGGAAACAATTTTTTGAGAATTTAAGTTTCTAAAGCTTGTAATTCTATACATTTATTTTCTTTTCAGTTACATAATGATAACTTGACAAACTGAAAGCATCTGTTGTTTCTAACTATAGGTCAGTTTGTTTTGCAGAAAAGGAAATCGTGTATTTTCAATATCCTAATGTTAAATTTAAAAATACTATATTTAATATCCTTGAATTGAAATTTCTTAACATTTGTGAGGTTATTTTTTTTTCAGGTTTATTGACTTGTCAATAATTGGCTTTCTATTTCAATGTGAGCATTTATGAAAATTAACAAACAATGATAGAGATGTATTTGTTTCATCGTCAAGTAATGAAAATCGTATTTTTATAGGAACCATATAACTTTTAGTACCATATAAATTTTGTGCTATAAAGATTTGGGCTATAAAGATTCTAAACGTATCTGTTACTTATATATAGTATATTTGTGAATAGTTGTAAATTAGTAAATACCCTGTAAAAGACTTATGTATCAATTTAAATTTTATTTTTCAGAGTACATATTTTCAGAAATTTTATTCGCACTTTATTTGATTTCCACTTGTACGCGCAAATTTAATCTTTGTTTTTACGAATTTTAAGTATTGAAAATGTTTTAAATATTTTGAATTTTTTATTTTTTTATTATGAAAAATATCAGGTATGGAAAAGACATCAAATTTCATCATTTATTCGAATCATCAATGAATTATGACGATCAATCAACGACTGGAGAGATGAAAGATTGTCACAGTCAGGGGTCTTCTGGTCCAACATTTGTCGGCATTGACAGAGAAAACAATTCATCACAATTTGGCACTTGGGATTTCTATCGCCGATGCTGAAGAAAATTGGAAATATAATAATTTTCAATTTCTGCTTTATAAAATTAAACAGCAAAATATTCATGCATAATGTTCAATTTCATATTTTTTTTCTATTTGTTAAAATACGAAGAAAGCATCGAAGAAAATAACGAGCGTGAAAATGTTATTTGCATTGCAGTAAATTTGACTAGTATTTATAATTTTCATTAAATTGTCAACTAACTGAGAGAATTCTGTCTTGAAGAGCTGGAGGGCAAGATCGAGGCAGTAGAAGTACGAGGCAACAGCAGATTAGCGTGAATAATGAAGACACGTCCGTGTGAAAGCCTAAGCGGGTCTCCTTAAGTCTGCTCCTTCGAGTAGAAGCCGAAGCCGGAAAGGAAGGATACTGGCTGAGAGATGAGGTGAACAGAAAGGAGGTAGAAGCAGTTAATTACTCCTCCCATCCAGAGGATAACGACTTCCCCTTATTTGTCGAGAGGCGCAAACAGCCAACCCTCGGCGAAATCCCTCGGCAAGACGCTTTCTTGGATATGTACCTCGAAGTCTTGGATTTATCCTATAACTTGAACGTTAACTTCTTTCGATGAACATTGACCAGGTATTTTTCAATAGATAAACACAATACGTTAAACATCCGGTTATTTCCATTGCGAAATATATTTAAATTCTTCGATTTGTCGTAGAATACTGATAAATTTAAGATTTCGTACATATAGTTACTATGTTGTATATAGATTATGTTGATTGTTTTTAATAATATACATCGCGCTTCTTCGTGTTAAATCTTCGCCCAATTGGGACGACAATAATGGTTGAAAACGTAAGCAATTAGCCTAACGATGCTACCAGTGTCAATTGTTTTATTGTCATAATCAACAAACGAATACAGGAAGGAATTTTCGTGCTATATTCAAAATTGTAATATAGTATCGATGTAACATTATGTCAGAATGCATTGAAATTGGAATGCAAAAGGAATTGTAGTAGAATATTTAATGCAAGATCAAGGTCGTCATTATTGTCATCGGTATTCCAAATCTGTAGAAAATGTGAACGACAGAGGATGACATTTTCTAAACAATGCATATGTACAACGAAATAAATAAATAGATGCATCTGAATACTCATACGAGGAACATGAAGAACGAGAGAAGGGAAACTAATTATGAAAGAAATCATAATAGGCGCACATGCACTGCGGGCTGTCGAGCTAACGATTGCTTCCTCTGCATCTGCACCTGTTACTGCGAACCTACGGTTGCATCGATGCACGCGAGCCGCATATGCCGATGGCCTTCCTGGGAGACGCGATCGCCTAAAGCGATAATTTCATTTCGCGAATTTGTAAGTTGCAAATATTCATATGTTCGTGAATTGTACTTACGTTTCCCTTTTCGTGGCGTAAATGTTAATTTTTTTCTCTTATTATTATTCACAATCGTCATCAATTGTTTGATATGTTTCCTTGGAGTAAACTCTGGGTATAGTAATTAGGGGAATATAACGAAGTTTCGCGTACAGTTTTGTTCGCTCATCCCAGAGAAATCGTCCCTTTGAGATGACTAACGTAACAAACGCGGCCACTGTATAAATGTTGTTAATTAGGGAAACGTGGAAACGAAAACCACCCTCGATGGTTCGTGATTGTATTTCTCTTTCTACTGTAGAGAGCACGGGACTTGAGGGCATATGACGAAACGCACTGACCATCGTTCGAATTCAAGTCCAGAAAATTGAATGGGCGTTTACGACGTAAAAGGCCGCGTTTCATGCTTTCATTCATCTTCTTTCATCGTTTGCTTCTCTGAATTGCAATTTGTGCCGGACGTTGCTATTATTTTCTGTAAGAGTGATTTGTAATTCGAAACTTCAGCGTGAAACTATAGTTTCACTTATCTAGCGATCTAGCTGATATTCGTTTATCGCCTGGGGCTATGATTCAAAATCGAACAGTCAGGATATGATGATATTGCACTTTAGTGTTCGAACTCATTAAAGCAAGCGCCATTCGGTTAGTATAATCGCGATTTTCGGACGGTTGGTCGACTGTATCTCTTTACCCTCGTCCTCCACATTTTTCGCGGAGCTCGCACGCGAGGAGTAATTTTCAATAAATGCAGCCGGCACGATTTTGTCGCTGGTCCTCTTCTAGTTGATGCACAACCAACGGTTTCGCCACTCGTCTTCTATGGTGTTTTCTTCTTGCTGTTTCTTCGCTACGTTCGAAACCGTCGTACTCTGAGGCTGACGCACGAGAGCAATAAGAAAGTGTAGTTTCGAACATCCGACACCTCATACGATTGCCATTCACTTTTCACCGTAGAGCGAACAGTTTAGACCCTCCGGACCCTCGGGGAAGTTCTGTGGCAGATTGATTTACATCGCAGTTAGCCTCGAGCCGGCCTGTAATCTCGCGACCATGCCGGGCAAAATACACGTGACTCGCCGCCTCATCCCTTTCACGACCCCTATGGGTGTATTAGAGCTCTCGAGTGTCCTGAATCCTGAACGAGAGGTAACCAACTTACACGCTTAATACCGTGTGGATTAGTTGGCAAACTGCCGTTGATAACCAGTGATTTGAGCGATCGTTTCTGCGATCTTGGTTGTCTACTTCTTACGCTGATTTTCCTTCTCGCGTGTTTTTTACTCCGATTTAGGCCTGGCCAGAGTGGACGACGTAGATTCATGGAACAAAGGGTGAAGTCTTGGAACAGAAAGTGGGGCTACGCTCCCGTTAGGACATTTCCTCCTCAAGTGTCCTCAGGAAATACGCAGGTCATCGCGTGCAGAATATTGCGAGACGGTCGTGGCTCCCCATTGTCAACGGTATACGAGAAAAGAAAGTTCACGGCTATGGGGTTACTTGCTGCCTTCAGGGTCACCGTTATCCAGTGATCGTACTATACACGATTGGTCGTGAAACTGGAACGAATTCTTCAATTTTAATGTAACGAATGTATAGCATCAGCTTACAAAAGGCACGATCGTGTAATTCGCAAAATAGTTTCGAAAATTTGCGAATCGGCCGAATTTACAAATCTCTGGAAGCAATTTCGTAATTTCGATTAGCATAAATTCACTGTTTTCTTTTAAAGAAGAAATAAGAAACACGTTCTTTACACTCTTGTATCTTTAACTCTTCCACATTGCTTGGACGAATCATTTCAGTTTCATGCTAAAATATTTCATAGAACGTCGAAAGGTTGGAAACAACAAATTAGAGGATCATAACAGCGTTAAATTCTCCATAGAAGCAAGTTCCAAGCGTTCAACCCTTTAGCAGATACTCGCTGGTTTATCTCGCTTGTTATTCAACTGGTTTTCATTAACCCTAGTGCGTTCTGCAAGTTGATCCTCATCTTCGTGTATGACGGTCCTTCGTCCCTTTGGTTCTCCCATAATCGTTGACGAAGGCGTCCGTCGACCGAGATGGACGTCGACAAAGCCTTGTGTCTCTGTTCCCACAGGAGAGCGTCTTTCGTGCTGACCGTACGAACATTAATTCGGTCAGGAAGGAATGAACAGCAAGAGGAGGGGAGAGGAGCAAGGAGGAAAGGGAAGAGGGACAGAAGGAAACTTGTAACATGTGTGTAACGCAAGGGGCGTTCCGTGGTTGCGGTCCCGTCCATCTGTGGCAAAGAGTCCAGACGTAATTGCTACATCCTCAGATGCTGTTACCATACCTGTGTAGTATGCACTGTCGACTCGATTCACGAAAATCGTCCACAATCGACCATTTACATATATCGGGACACAATATCGATTCAATGATAAACGCAACTCGGACTCTCTCTCTCTCTCTCTGTGCTAATCGCAGGATGCGTGAACGAGCAGACGTGTATCTTCATTTCCACTATGAAATTCTTGGAGTTTATCCAGAGCTAGATCAGTCTCAAAGTTAGTCCCTGTCGAAGTAGATTATTCCGATTTTCCATTTTCACGCGGATTTATCGCGTTACGAGAGAGATATTAGGCTTTGTAAGAATTTTCGATTTTCATCGTGAACATAATAGACGCGGATAAGATGCAAATACGCGCGTGCGTGTGCCTGTGATCATGGCTTCTTCCGTCACGCGACGTACCGCGGCCATCGAGGCCTGTCTTCTTCTCCTTCTTCTTCTTTTTCTTCTACTTCTACTTCTTCTTCTTCTTCTTCTTCTTCTTCTTCTTCTTCTTCTTTCTCTTCTACTCTTTCTCCTGAAACCGAGAGAGCCTTCTTTTTATTCGAGCTTTTTCGTGAACGGTCACTCGTTGCACGAATTCCCGCGGGTGCAAATCGTCGTGAAATTGACGGTTCCTGCGATGGTGAATGTCAATTTTATGTACGCCCGAGGTACGTCGGAATTAACGATTCAAGAATTTCTTTGTATCGATGTGAACCTTGGCGTCTTTCGTTTTCATATCTTTCCACGTGTAGCTTGTTTTTTTTTTT